TGTTCTAAAGTAGGATGTTATGTTACACACTGTGATTAATTTTCCTTAAATTTCTCTATTTCAGAAGAATGTTGTTTTCTAAATAAGCAATATTTTGAGAGAAGGTGAATATGCATTGTTTATAATAAAATTTATTGAAGTAGAAATATTATTACAATATTATTGAATTATTCATTTCAGGCCAGCGAGTCAACACAATGAAGTACCAGTATCCAGTGATGGATGTCTGGAGGAGCTTTCTGCTGACAGTAACACAATGGTTACCGTATATGACCGCGTATAAGCCGAATTTTGAGGACCAGAAAAAAGATTCTGTAGAAAGGGGTCGGCTTATCCACGGGATACACTTTCATGATAGTATTTTTCAGATCGTGATCTGTCAGAAACATCGGCTGAATGACGGTCCGATAGATTACAACTTCCCGAAAGTTTGGAAGTTGCCACGACTAGAGCCATTATTCTTATAAATTATCAATAAAGTTATTATTATACACCAATGTTGTCATTATTAAAAAAATGTTATGCATGTTACTCCTTCCGATAATAAGTTTTCAATTGAATGTTCAAAGTTTATCGTTCTTCGTAAACTCCACAATCTTTACATGTAACAATATATGTAATTCACAGCTATAATATATAATCCCCAGATAAAATCGCCAATAGCTATTACGTACGTTTTGCAAAGTTCATAAATTGATAGTGAACAAGTGTCTACCTTTATTGAAAGAGGCAAATAAACAACTGTATCGGCGAGTTATTCCGTTCGCCATTTGCAAAAACATGTGATCAGCTGTTACCTGTGACATCACGAACGGTGACCACTGTGATTGCTTCCTGTTGTTTAAAGCAACACGGTACACAAGGAAATGAGCATTGATAATAACGGGCCGATTGGTATTGTCATGTTGTTTACACAAACATTTTCAAGTTGTGGGTGCTTAGCGATCGAGTTGGGAGTAGGGGCTTAATTCCTTTGTTTTCGAGAGATTAGTTTAATAAACTGGAGAAGCCTGTGAGTAAGTGATGGTCATTTATTTAATTCAATTGGATTAACATACAATAGTGGTGTAAAGGGGGTTATAAAAGTTGGTATATTTTTACAGACTGACATTTTCATCATGAGTTTTAAACAAAAACGCCATGCTTACGATGCTGAATTCAAACTGCGAGTCTTCGCGCCAGCTGATATATTTTCTCACGGGTTCATAATTCTATATACACCGATTCACAAAATGGCGCTTGGTTGTTGATGGCAACATATAACGATCATTATGAGATTAAAAAAAACCACGAGAAACAGCTTCCCACATTATGAAAGTGGATGACTGGTTTGTTAAATCTTTTTTAGAAATAATAATGACTTTTTCAATATAATTACAACGTTTTTCATCTTATATTTTTGAATATTTGCGAGTACCGGCACATGTCTTGCAGTCCGACTTCGCAGTGTTTTTTGTCTTTCAATTCCTGATTCGGCTTATCTGCGGGTCATATCATTTTCTTTCGTATTTCAATGGTCAAATTAACACCTCGGCTTATCTACGGGGTCGGCTTATCCGCGGTCATATACGGGTACAATGTGCATCCTGTCAAAGGACGAGAAAGTGAAACGCCATATTCATTTAATCAACAAATGTGCTTCCTGTCATATTTCACTTAAATAGGACGAGGAAGTGAAAAGCCTTATTCACTCACAAAACAACATGGCCAATATTTATCAGACACTAAAAAAGCACATTGTACAATTTGTTTACAAGCAAGAAAATTATTTTCTCCTGGAATTTAATTAGGTGCTTTTGACTGACAAAAACACCTGGTCCATGCTAAGTTTTGAAAACTTATATTGTGAGAAATAAAGACATGAAAATTTCGGTTTGTTTTTCTTTGTTAAATATGAAAAATCCAGATTGTTCTATCAACATAATTTGTACCAATACATATATTTTATCTTGGCTTGATTACCAATTGAAGTTGATTCCTTTTTATCTTTTGTTATTTTATCTGTACTCATATCTGATCAAGACATTTTCAAACTATTCAGGATAAATGTACCGTATTCGACGTAATAAGCGCCCCGCTCTAATAAGCGCCCATGGCGATATTTGTTGATAGTATTGCCTAGTGAACAATCCCAATTAGCACTCCTTCCGATTGATCAATGTACACAAGACGTATTTATTCGCGTATAATACGCACTCGTGTGTTATATGCATTCTTAATTATGGGCAATTAAATTCTGGAAAAATGTATCTGTAGCATATAAACATTTCAGTGTGTAAGCATAAACCACGAAATTTATCTTTCAACTCTTCTTTTTTCCACCAAAATAATATTCCAATAAGAGCCCCCTATTTCTAATTTTGAGAGCGGCCTGGGCGCTTATTACGTCGAATACGGTATTAGTAGCTTCCTTTTGATATACAATTACCTATCATCATACAGGATTAGGTGAGGGTGTTCAAGAAGTTGGTGGTTGTATCAATTCTTATATTTCTTCAATTTCATGCAATATTTATGTTTATCAATTTTTAGTTTCCTTTTAACTTATTTTAAACAGTTCACACATTATTACTTTTGTTGTGCACGATGCAATCTCAATCGGCAATAATCAGTTAAGTAAGTGATGTTTGAAGAACAAGTAAAGTATCATCTCTAATTGTACACACTGAATAGAGTTATCGCCCCTTCTGAATATTTATTTTGACATATGAATTATTTTGTGAACTAATTTCATTTACATCGTAATATGTTAAGATAACAATCATAGCAGAAAAAGTGTCTTTTGTCAACTGGACTCATAGCAAAACGATAGTGCGTTGTGCAGCAAACACCACTAAGAAACGTGAAATAAACATGATCGACGATCTCGAGTTCGCCAAGCCACGCATTGACTGAGCAAATTTGCAAAAGTACACTGACGTGTTTCATGTTATGCGGTTCATTTACGATACAAAAACTTCTGTCATTGAATATACTGTGCCATTGTACCTATATGCCGACGAGGTTATGATAAAACAATCTATTTCTGAAATACGTATCTCGAAATGCACCTTTCGATTCACTTCCGAAATCCTGACAGCAAAATGCTAATTCCAGTGTATTACAGGCATATTTTAGTTGGACCTCATAATAAATGTGAAATATCTTCTGTATTAGATACAGAGGATACCATTTTTTGTTTGTTTGAACAAATGTTGAAATGTCCATCAGTGAAATGCACAACATGCTGTCTGTTCCCTATCAGCTGATGCGACTCTCACTGCATGGAGCTATGCTCTCCAAGCCTCATTTTCGATCCAAGATGGCGAAAGCGTGAAAAAGGTCAATACCCTTTCCTAAGGGATGACTACCCCTTTCTGATTGAAGGTGAGGTTGGGTTCACTATCTCACCTACTTAATGCATGTACAATTGTAACACAGTGTATCCCAAGGAAAATCCATGTTTATCATGTTTATTATCAAGTTTAAAAACAACTATTACGCTTGCAGCATTGTATACGATCCTTTATGTTTGTGTACATGTGCGCTAAACTGGTTGTTATCTAAAATCATGTATGTGTAATCTATTGCCCCGGTTCTCAGTATTTAGCTCATCAAAATGCATTAATGGCAAAACATGTTCCATCAACCCCTGGGGACAATTGAAAGCCCCAAGGCATAGTAGTGAGTGAGTTGGGTTTAACGCCGCTTTTAACAATATTCCAGTTATATCACGGCGTGTCAGCTTAATGTGGGAGGAAAGCCCGAAGTGATGCAGGTCTCAGACGTTTACCACTTCGGTGAAACCCACGAGCACGGGTATGGTGCTGACAAACCTTGAAACATAATCGGGGCGAACCGGGATTCGAACCCACAATCATAGGTTTCTGGCGTGCCCAAGGGACGCAACTCTGCACAGCAAATCGCGGCGCCTTGTACGACTGGGCCACCCATGCCCACCCCAAGGCATAGTAGCTTCTCAGGCAATGTATGTGAGGTCGGTGAAACGTGAGGCAATTAGTGATCAGGGTTAGAAACTAACAGCTTTTGTCCACTAGTCCTTATAATGATAACATATAGCAAAACCCTTAAAATGGGCCAATTTCTACTAGTCCTTAGGATACCTTTACTATTGGGCAGGTTGGTAAGGACTACAGGACTAGTGCCAGTTTCTAACGCTGGTGATGCAATCTTTCCAACCATTTTTATGCTTAATAAATAGACAGCTGATGTCATTACAACAATGACTTCATTAAAACATGAAGCAAGAGTCACTGGAGCGTGAGGCACGGTAACGGTATAGCGAGACAGCGGTCAGACTAAAGCCTGGTAATAGAGCGGATGGTAGAGCTCGGTAAACTGCATTGTTGCCCAATTTAGTCTCGTCTTTGGCACCAAAAATGTAGTTTACCAGGCACAGCCATGGACACTTAACACTTAATCTATATTTAGGGTCCATGGCACAGCTTATTAGGTTACACCTAACTCTATCCTTTGACCTATAATTTCGTTAACAATCAAGCACCCTTCACGATCATTTCAGTAAGATTACGGTTAGGGCGAATTGTGAGTTCGGATATGTGTTAGCTATCACTTTTAGCGAATTAATTCAATGTAATTTTTCTTTTGTACAGACTCGGTACGATTGTTATCAAGTTTCTAGTTTCGCGGTGAAAATGTCTAATTAGTCGTAATAGCGCCGGTGGTCCCGTGGTAGGTAAAGTGTTGGCGAACTCCAGCCAATAGCTTCGAGCTGGCAATGTCAGTTCGATTTCACGCGGCGATAATTGAAATCCGAAAAATGTGCACTACTCCTAGGTTTTAATAAAGATTAATACAGACACGATATGATACAAAATCAGTAGATCTCGACAACAAAATCCCCTGTGTCTGTGCCAGATCTTCCGACACGGTCACCCCTACTGTGATATATGAGACAGCTATGTCACAAGTATGACAGTGATGAAGCGACTGAACATGGCCCGGAAAAAGTAGCCCACAAATAGCGTTGACATACTCACAATTTGTACGAATCTTAATGTTGTTGAATCAGACGGACTTATGATATCCACTGCTGTCAATAAAACTAAAACTATTAGCAGTCTCATTTCTCTGACTCCGTCATATTTTTGTTTTCGATGTCACCGTTAGTTTAGAGTGACCTCCCTTTGGAACGAAGTTGGTGGCCCTGTTTGGGTTGCATGTAATAAGGCTAAAACGGATTGGTGTTATAACAGCACTGAAATACCTGGCGTCAGTTGACGATATGCAAAGAGAAATTAAACAAACAGTAAATTATGTACATTTTCTTAACAGACGTCGTTGTGGGGCGAAATATGTCTTGCTCTGATTACAGTGGTGAAATGTCTTATTGCATAATGAAATTATAGATTGCTGGAATTCGAGACAACTAGAATTGTATTTAACATGGACATCATATATACAACACATTTCACCTTGAACATAAGATAAAAAACACAAGAAACAAATTAACCATACATGTATTTTCAGCTTAATTAGGGGCGCACCATTTCATATTAGGGGAGGGGGCGTTTTGTTTTGGTAGAGTCGTGCTTTTTCCCTCATTTTAGGGGCTGAGATTACTTTTTCTTCATAAAAAGAGAGCTGATATATTTTAACGTCACATTCAAATTCAACATCTGGAAGAGAAGTTTGAGAACATTTAAGAGCATGGTGAAAACCAGAACAATATCATAAATATTGCAACACACGGAACATATGTATTATGAAGTCTATTCTACCTCACCGCCACAAACACACGCAAAGGCAAGTTAATTGTTCACCTAAACAAACAGGGTAACATAAGTTTCAAGTCAAAATAGGGAATTGCATCAGATATCACTTTTGTCACTGACGCGTCAAATTTGGAAATGTCATCCACATGACTATCACGAGACTTTTCGAAACAACATTTGCGCAAGAGTCGTATGACGCATGCTCGATTGTACCTCAAAGTTGTGAAATGAAGACAGAGGAGGTGTTGGAATATATAGCTCGACATATGGGGAAAGTTGACCATTAGAAAGTTGAAACCATTGCCCTTGTCAAAGTCTTGCGGATAATTTTGAGCAATCCCATTAAAATCAGATCTTAGTTCTTGTTATCGCTAAACAAAGATCTGAGGACATCCCATTACGGGTCACGTCAGAACGACCTTTCATCCGACCAATCAAAGCGTCGCTTACCAGATCATGAAAGTGACAGTCGGAATGTGTTTTCTAATCATGCAACCTCATGTAACACAGAATATTCCGAACGACAGTTACGGCCCGTACGACCGATTCCGTCAAAATTATCTCTCACTTCTGATAAACGTTTGAAGGGAGGAGGCGTTGCACAGTACGTGGGAAGCACTGCCATACAATCTCAACCATATATTAGACATTCCGGAATGTTCGTTTGTTCAGTTTTGAAAATTTTAATCGAGAACCCTGTCAACATATTTTTCAAGCGTAGTCTGAAATGGGAGTCGTCAGGTTGAAACGAGTGCCATGAAGCTCGAGAAAGCTGCTTTCTTATTGGCTGATGTCGACTTCTTGTTAGTCATTTCAGTGGTCGGTCAAAGTTCGCGAAAGGTCGTTCTGACGTGACCCGTAATGGGATGTCCTCAGATTTTTGTTTTGTGGCAGCGAGAACTAAGATCTGTTTTAATGAGATTGCTTTTTGTGTCACTCTGAAACTTTATTCATCGATATAAATATACAACGGACGAGGCGGTTTCACTGATCTCTTTAATACTAGCTTAGGTGGGTACATAGATGGGACGGAATTACTTATTTGACCATTATTGAACCATTTCATCGATATAAGTACCTAAAACAACGCATTTGAATGTAAATGAAAGCGACAAAACCCGTCACAAACACATGCAAAAGCAAATCCCTTGTTCACTTGAAAAAAACACGGGAACGGTTGGTACAAATCAAAATAGGGAATTGCATCGGGCATCATTTTGTCACTGATGCGTACAATTTGGAAATGTCCTCCCGGGTACATGTCTACCATACTCATTTTTAATTATTTTACCGAGGCCTTGAATTTTGTAACCTTTAAAGCAAGAATCAAATGACGCTCTTCGAAATCTTCGTAGAAAGAGCATGCTGGATTGTACCTGAATAGTTGTGAAACGTAGACACAAAAATCTGGGGCTGCTGGAATATTGCTCGACTGAAAGGGAAAGTTGAAGTCATTCGTCTTGTCATACAGTCTTGTGGAGAGATTTTTGTCATTCTGAATCTTTATGCATAGATCTAAATATGAAACTGTACAGACGTAGGTGATTTTAAAACAATTCACATATTTATACATTATCGGTGCCCTCTTATGATATTCTTGCACACACACTATCATCTTGTTAATATTCCGAACTCGATGTAACACATATCACACCTGTTGTGGTTATAACATATGTCTGTTATTGTTTCTTTCAAAAGTAAAAAGAGAAGCTCAGTATTATTTCAATCGATTAGTCTGGATCTACCGTCTTTTGAAACATGACAAATTAAGAAGATCCGAGAGTGAGAATAACTCAATTGAACTCTGTTTTGAAATACTATTGTGGTAAATGCAAACAAACTTTCATTTTCTTCCTATGTTTGCTTTTCCAGGGTTGAACCTACCTAGGGCAGCTTGTTGACTGATAGGCGCCTTCTATGTGTATCTGTTCTGCACACTGGAATGTGCGTCCGTTGTTTGGATTTATGGTGAGATCAGCTCAACAGTCAATATCGGAGTATTATCTTCAGTACTGTCAGATTTGGTTAACTTGCTAATTGCCACTGAGATTTGCATTTATTTATTTCATAATGTTATTATACCAGGGATAAATCAACCCAGCAAAGATCTTGTGATGATGATTGGGACACCTCTTCCAGTTTATATAAAGATCCTCTGGGCTTTTGTCATCCCCTTTTTGTGCATTTAGTAATTGTTGTGTGCGATTTCCTGCAACCTATCCATCAATGAATGTATATTACCCATCAATAAGTGGTACATAGACCTCTAATACACATCTATGGAAATGTCTCAAACGTTCTTTATTATGACTTCAGATTAAGTTCATGCTGACGCTTCTATGGTACGAGCCTCCGGCCTATGGCAAGTCCCATGGTATGCTGGTACATTTGGGAGGTTCGTCGCGACAATTCCACTTATTCCTATACCCTTCTACGTGATAAAAGCAGTGAGGAAGCACCTGTTTTCACATACATTCAGAGCGGTAACTATAATCTATGTCCTAATTCTTCAACAACATAATATCGAAATACCATTCATTGAGAAGTGAATCCACGTAATGCATCTGAAATTGAATCCCCATATGCGGTTATCCTGAATTTATCCTTTCTCTATCAGTCAGTATGTTTAATGTGCTACTGATATGAGTTCACTGTCTGTTTAACGTGCATTTACAGGAGTCCACTGTCTGTTGGATGTGCCACTGATAGAAGTCTATTGTCTGTTGGATGTGCCACTGATAGAAGTTCACTGTCTGTTGGATGTGCCACTGATAGAAGTCCACTGTATGTTGGATGTGCCACTGATAGAAGTCCACTGTCTGTTGGATGTGCCACTGATAGAAGTCCACTGTCTGTTGGATGTGCCACTGATAGAAGTCCACTGTCTGTTGGATGTGCCACTGATAGAAGTCTATTGTCTGTTGGATGTGCCACTGATAGAAGTCTATTGTCTGTTGGATGTGCCACTGATAGAAGACTATTGTCTGTTGGATGTGCCACTGATAGAAGTCCACTGTATGTTGGATGTGCCACTGATAGAAGTCCACTGTCTGTTGGATGTGCCACTGATAGAAGTCCACTGTCTGTTGGATGTGCCACTAATAGAAGTCTATTGTCTGTTGGATGCTCCACTGATAGAAGTCCACTGTCTGTTGGATGTGCCACTGATAGAAGTCCACTGTCTGTTGGATGTGCCACTGATAGAAGTCCACTGTCTGTTGGATGTGCCACTGATAGAAGTCCACTGTCTGTTGGATGTGCCACTGATAGAAGTCCACTGTCTGTTGGATGTGCCACTGATAGAAGTCCACTGTCTGTTGGATGTGCCACTGATAGAAGTCTATTGTCTGTTGGATGTGCCACTGATAGAAGTCCACTGTATGTTGGATGTGCCACTGATAGAAGTCTATTGTCTGTTGGATGTGCCACTGATAGAAGTCCACTGTCTGTTGGATGTGCCACTGATAGAAGTCCACTGTCTGTTGGATGTGCCACTGATAGAAGTCTATTGTCTGTTGGATGTGCCACTGATAGAAGTCTATTGTCTGTTGGATGTGCCACTGATAGAAGACTATTGTCTGTTGGATGTGCCACTGATAGAAGTCCACTGTATGTTGGATGTGCCACTGATAGAAGTCCACTGTCTGTTGGATGTGCCACTGATAGAAGTCCACTGTCTGTTGGATGTGCCACTAATAGAAGTCTATTGTCTGTTGGATGCTCCACTGATAGAAGTCTATTGTCTGTTGGATGTGCCACTGATAGAAGTCCTCTGTCTGTTGGATGTGCCACTGATAGAAGTCCACTGTATGTTGGATGTGCCACTGATAGAAGTCCACTGTCTGTTGGATGTGCCACTGATAGAAGTCCTCTGTCTGTTGGATGTGCCACTGATAGAAGTCCACTGTGTGTTGGATGTGCTACTGATAGAAGTCCACTGTATGTTTGATGTGCCACTGATAGAAGTCCACTGTCTGTTGGATGCTCCACTGATAGAAGTCTATTGTCTGTTGGATGCTCCACTGATAGAAGTCCACTGTATGTTTGATGTGCCACTGATAGAAGTCCACTGTATGTTTAACGTGCATTTACAGGAGTCCACTGTCTGTTGGATGTGCCACTGATAGAAGTCTATTGTCTGTTGGATGTGCCACTGATAGAAGTCCACTGTCTGTTGGATGTGCCACTGATAGAAGTCCACTGTATGTTTGATGTGCCACTGATAGAAGTCTATTGTCTGTTGGATGTGCCACTGATAGAAGTCCACTGTCTGTTGGATGTGCCACTGATAGAAGTCCACTGTCTGTTGGATGTGCCACTGATAGAAGTCTATTGTCTGTTGGATGTGCCACTGATAGAAGTCCTCTGTCTGTTGGATGTGCCACTGATAGAAGTCCACTGTCTGTTGGATGTGCCACTGA